AAAAAAAAACTTGTAAAACCATTTTTTGTGTAAAAATTTTGGAATGACTAAATTATTTTAGCAATTCCCAATGCATTTAAAACTTTTCAATTGTTTTAGTAACAATCAAAGAACCGCAAAACCTCAAATTTGCGCTCTAATTGCAAATGGCACTCCAGCACACTCGCCAAAAAAAAAAAAAAAACAGAAACACCAAAAACATTTAAACAGTAAGCATCGAAAAAAAATGTGTTTTGTCTACAATCGTGTTATTTAAGCGATCAATCAGTCAATGCCGGTAATTTAAACATATTTTAGGACCAACATAACTAAGCGCTTTAATAGCTACTCTGCATTTATAAAAAAGCGAACTGCTACTCAGTTTGCAACACAAAAAAAAAAGTTCTAACTTCTGAACAAATACATGCGTAGATATGTATGTATGTATGTATGTTTGTATATTTGTATCTAGATACCTGCAAATGATTGAGTATGTGCCGTTGGTATTGAAATTGCCATCGTAATCGGCATATATTTACATACTTCTATGCATGCCTATATGTATGTATGTATGTATGTCTGTGGTTAACCAAATAAACATTGTCATTGGCTCGCTGGTTAATGCAAATATATTTATAACACTCGTACCTTTGCAAATCAAATGTGAATATTCTAAGTTTTCAAGTTGAAATGAATCGACGAAACGCAAAACTAAATGTGGGTCAGTTGGGTGACCATTTTTGCAATTTATTTGATCTTTCAAATGGCATTATTTTTACAAACTTTTTTTATTTCTTTTTTTAGTTTTAAATTTGTTTTTTTTTTGTTTTTTTAGTTTTGGTTTAGGTTTTTTACTTCACCCGTAATGTTCAAAGGTTGCTGGTGGGAGTTAAAACAAACCCACAGTTGCAAAAGTTTTGAGTAAATGTGCGCAAATTTGCATTTAATGCGATTAAATTTATTCCATTTATGCAAATGAATCCATGACTTTGCGAGCCGCACCGAATTGGTGTGATTAGAAAGGATTATAAAAAATTTCGTTAGCTAATTATTTTGAGTTTGAAAGTAAATGCTTTTGTAGCTAATTAAATTTGGCTAACTTACAATTACATAAATTATCACTTTATTATGCATATAAATAAGCGGTTTAAATTGCAAATTATCGCAATTATTTGGGGGTGTAATTTGGTGGAATTAGTTTTTTTCTGCAAAATGCTCTTGAAAATGGTTTATTACAGTTAGATAAAAAAAAACACAAAAAAATTAGAAAATAAAAATGTTTAATAACAGTTCTCATGGGTTGAACGAGCACGCAATGTTTACTACTTGTACGGGCGTGTATGTGTGTATGTTAATGCCATTACATAAAGTTTTCTTTTACGAAAATCGTGCATTTTGATGAGAAAATGCGTTTAGCAAGGCTGAAACAACGGTCCTTGGTAGGGGATAGGAATGCCGTTTTTGAATCGATTAAATCGAATATCGATTAATCGAGCCTTCCCGATTCGATTTTTTGTCAATTTTTTAGTTCCGGTTCGATCCGTTAATCGATCTGGAGTCGGGAGTCAAAATTTGATTTTTTCTCAACTGATGCAAAATAAAGGGGGCTGGGCCCTCGCACCATCCAGCTTGAGGCAGCATAGACCAAAAGATTAAATGACTTGCTTTTCTTTCTCCTTTAACTACAGGGCCCCTTTGGGAAGCCTCTTGAAAATAGGGCAAAAATAATTAATTTCGCTGACAAAGTGCCACATCTATTATAGTATTTTTTTGCTCCGGACTAGTTAGATATTACATCATCTAGCTGTGATTTAGAGTGTTTGCTCTAATTGATTTGCCAAATAGTAGCCAAAGCGCAACTTGGAACAGAGTGATATCGAAAAAATTAAACCTTTTCAAACCTTTGGAAAATAGTTCTACGGCAACACACAATCATTGCCTCCTCAGTAAAGTGCTTTCATTAGCAGGAAATGTTTATTCACTTTAAATACTGGTTACTGCAGTTACACTTAATGAGTTTTTAATAAATTAGTTTTTTCATATATATTAGGGAGGCCATCGAAAATGCTTTTAGAAATTTCAAGACCCTACCACCTAATATTATTCGCCTATTTTTATAGATTTCTTAAAGGTCATTAAGAGGTCGCAACCTATCGATTTAGGCCAGAAAATACGATTTTGTAGATTTATGAGTTTTTGAATGATGATTTTTGCTTCGATTTCAAAGAGCGAATATGCTCTGAGAAGAGGGTATACAGGTCATTAAAATGGTATATAATAAGCTATTTTCGGACTAGGCTGGTTGGAATTTTTTATCGGGTAAATTAAAAAAACACATATTTCTCTTAATTTTTAAATTTTGAACATCGATAATTTCCACAATTTTAAAATAAACTGATACCCCATTTATTGCGATAAAATTGTCGAATTTAGGCGACTTTTCTTTAATACGGCCTCGAATTTATATGTGTGTATGTATCGGACTTTCAGATTTTTTGAGAAGTGTGGCTAAGGAACTCATCAATATTTATTCAAAATTGATATATACAATCGCTCTTTAGCAAAAAATTGCTTTTTCCAAAAAATTTAGGAAGATGGGGGTAGCACCGCCCACTTATACCATATATGTGCATCCCAAAAACTACTAGACCGATCTCGACCAAATTTGGTACACACATTGCGCATAGACTTCTTAAGCGGCATATTGAACATTTTTGAAATCGGATAAATCGGAAACGGCTGCGCAAACTGACAAACACAAGCACGCCACTTGCTTACAAAAGTGACAAAGATGCGTCGCTCAACGGATAAAGCCTTCAAAGCCACTGGATTGGAAAGTCTAAGTACACTAACGCTAAAACAACTGTGAAAAGCGGGAGTAACCCACCTCTCCGCGAATTTACATAAATCGGTCGCTTGTCACCATAGAAATACTTAAAATGTAGAAAACAGATCCCGAAAGAAATACAGGAGAGCTTTGTCACCCGATATCTCTGAAGTGAAGACAGCTGAAGCCTTGTCACTGCCGCCATTTACCACCAAGTAGAGCAGTACATCAGCACGACTTCCTTGACATGAAAAAGTCCTCTTGTCAGAGGACGGTAGAACTAGACCTGCCGAAAGCTGAGACTAAAGGAGTGGTCTCTTCCGCCTGTGGAGATAACATTTATCTCAAAATCCGGCAAGTGTTCGATTTTGGCATGGATAAATGACATTAATGACTTTTGGTTCTAAGTAAAAGGGTATCCCTCAGGCCTTTCCAGCTTCTTAACTAAATATAACTTAACCATTTCTCTTTGTTGGCAGCATATGAGTATAAGACGATTGGCTGTCCGGTTCTAAACTAAGTCGTACATCTGTGGTCGTCGAGGACTAGCAAAACTTAGTAGGCGAAGCTTTGGATAGATCTCTCGAACGTCCCAATGATTTCAATCGAGGAGCATAACAGCACGCTGAGAAAGTAGTTCCTGTTGTTGTATTACCGTACATCCTTTCAGGCAGACGAAAAGCTCCAGTCTCTCCTCGAAGCCAGCGTTATTTTAGCTCAACTCCGTTTAGGTCATTGTACCAAGTTAAACTCGAAAATACCCAAAATTAGCCGCCGTATACCCGACCTATGTACGTACCTATGTCCAAAAAATGAAACTCATTAATTTTACACCTCTCTCCCAATTTTGCAATCAGCACTAAGTACTTAGACGCTTAGAGTTGCACACTACCACTCAGTCGCTCCCGAAAGACAACTGCAAACCTTCGAGAGAACTTCCGCCGGGAACATGTTTCTCATAATAGTTTCTTCCAAGGTATTTGTGAAATTAAGATCTACAGCACTTAAACTGCATTGGCTGCTGATGATTGCTGGAAAGTCTGAAGTTTCTATTTCTCACAAACTATTGGAGATAGCCAGAACAAACATAATTATTCCCACAAGTCAAAAGATATATTTCAGGGTATATATTTTTACGAGTCGCTCACAAATGACATGCGATTACGCTGGCGGAATGACTCCCGTCTAGCTTTCCTATCAAACAATTTATGCGACTTCCGCTTACTGTGAGTTCTTTCCAGTCCAAAGTTTTTGCGATTAACGCGGCTTGTAAAATTCTTTTGCCCACAGAAAAAACACTATTTCTCGACCAAATTAGATAAGATACAATAAGGGCCGTTGAAGCTTTACCCTTTACCTCATTAAAATAAATGCCTTTTTGGAGAAGTGTTCATTCAAATTACTCTCAATGTGCTCTGAAGTATCTATTTTTCTGAAGATTTAACCTGCCTATTAAAGAGGCTATACACCTTCCCGATTTAGCGAGTATTTCTCTCTCTGAAAGTCATGCCTGAGCAAAGCACAATTATTTTCCGGCAAAATAAGTTGCAAAAAAGCCCGGTCGGTCTGTGACTTTTTCCTTTTTAAATCTAAGATCTTTCATACATATTTTCTATGTAACTCATTTTAATGAAGGTCCCGATTTCTTATGGATAAGCTAGCCGTAAGTTAAAGAACGAGACTTAAATAACAACCAAATATTTGTCTGAACTCGCTGCTGCTTTTACATGGAACTGAGCATAGAGTACTTTTGTTATTGCATAGAACTGAATAGAAAAAGAGTTATTTAGACTTAAAGGGAAAACTTTCTTTGTTCACGCAACAGAACTGCATGACATCTCAATAAATTTATCTAATTTTCTTAACTATATGGATCGGATTTATCAAATATTTGCCATTCAATAGTCTACAAAGCACAGGAGTTAGACTCAAGCCCAGAGAGCACCTAATATATTACACGCGCTACTAATGAATTTTAGGTCTCTTGAAATAGTTTGCTGAATATTTAAAGTATTTTATTAGTTGAGTTAAAAATTACACAAACCAGCTTAAAGCATTTTTACAGCCCCGACTTAAAAATATACGCATTATGAGCCCTTAAAAGAAATTCCAAATCCTCTAAAGCAGTTTCCAGTCTTGCAATTTAATATTTCATACTCCAATTCTGCAATGGCTTATGTTATTTGTTACTTACCAGTCATCTTATCCATGCCCAAGCCGCCTTCAACGCGATCATTATAGCTATTTCCTGGGCGCCCTGGAAATTTTTAATTTTTGATTAGAAACTTTCTGCTCGCATTATTTTGATAAATATTTTCTTACTTTTGCTGCCATTTAAGTAGTCCTCTGGATTGAAGTAGGTTGCTATGGTCTTATCGCCATCATAACCGCCATCTGGACGTGCAGCTGTGCCATTTCGACGCACATAGCCATAGTCACCATAGCCACCACCAGGTATGCTGGGTTCACGCATTGGTGGCCGCATTGATGTGCTTAAACCATTGGGTGGATCTGGCCGATTTGTATAATCCACAAAATCACCTGGTGGGCGTGAGCCATTGCTCAAAGTGGGTGGTAGTGCGGATGATGGTGGCCGCTGTTCATAAGACGGACGCCTATTGAGGCCATCATATTCTGGGCGTGTATAATAATTTGGTGGTGTTGTGGGGTCGTAATCGGGTCTCGTGGGACGCTGGGCATTAGGAGGGCCGATGGGCCGATCCGGACGATCAATGGGGTATGAACCGTGTGAATCTGCACTGCCGCTGGCATGAGAGCCTGGCCAGTCGGGTCGATCGCTGGAGTAAGTGC